ACCTATTTCCCACTGTCTGCCTCCTGCTGCTGTGGGAGGGATGAATTAAATATGACCCTGGAATAATTACATTCAGTGCCTGGGAAATAATACATTTATAAATTTTCCACATGTAGAATCTATTTAGGGGGTCATCTTAAATTCAGGGTTATCTTAGATTTGGGTAATGCAGTATTATGGAGACAGTGTCCTAAAATGATGAACAGTTTACATGTCTGTTCATAGATTCATAGATGTAGGGTTGGAAAGGACCTAAGTAGATCATCAAGTCCAACCCCCTGCCCTGGGCAGGAGAGAATACTGGGCTCATATGACCCCAGCTAGGTAAATGTCAAGCCTCCTCTTAAAGACCCCAAAGGTAGGAACCAGCACCACTTCCCTTGGAAGTTGGTTCCAGATCCTAGCTGCCCTGACATAGTGTCTTCTAATGTCCAGCCTGAACCTACTCTCAAACAACTTATGGCCGTTATTCCTTGTTACTCCAGGAGGTGCACGGGTGAACAGCGTCTCTCCCATTCCCCGCTGGTCCCTCCCTCGTAAGTTTGTAGATAGCCACCAGATCCTCTCTCAACCTTCTCTTGTGAAAACTGAACAGGTTCAGGTCCCACAGGAGTGGCCCTCCTCTGGACCCACTCAATGCTGGCCACATCTCTCCTAAAGTACAGCGCCCAGAACTGGACACAGTACTCCACGCCTGACCAGTGTCACATAGAGGGGGAGGATCACCTCCTTGGCCCTGCTTGTGATGCATCTGTGGATGCATGACAAGGTGCAGTTGGCCTTACTGACCGCATCCTCACATTGGTGGCCCATGTTCATATTGGAATCAATAATGACTCCAAGATCTCTTTCTGCCACTGTGCTTTCGAGAAGGGAGTTCCCCAACCTGTACGTATGCTGCTGGTTCTTACTGCCCAAGTGCAGTACCTTGCACTTGTCAGTATTGAATCCCATCCTATTCTCATTCACCTACCCCTGTAACCTGTCCAGGTCCAGCTGTATCCTGTCCCTCCCTTCTAGCATGCCCACCTTGCCCCAGATCTTGGTGTCGTCAGCGAATTTGAACAAGGTGCTTTTCACCCCCTTGTCCAAGTCATTAATAAAGAGATTAAACAGTGCGGGCCCAACAACCGAGCCCTGGGGGACCCCACTGCCCACATCCCTCCAGGTCGAATATGACCCGTCCACCACCACTCTCTGGGTGCAGTCCCTCAGCCAATTTGTGAAGGCCTTCCTAAAGTCCAGAAAGACTACGTCCACTGCGACACCTGCGTCTAAGGATTTTGTGACCTGGTCATAAAAGGCAACCAGGTTGGTTTGACAGGACCTGCCCCTAATTAACCCATGTTGGTTGCCTGTAAGCATAATCTCCCCTGCTGGTCCTTTGCAGATGTGCTCCTGGATAATTTTCTCAAAGAGCTTCCGCAGGACTAACGGGCCTATAATTTCCTGGGTCCTCCTTCCTCCCTTTTTGAAAATGGGGACCACACTGGCCCTTTTCCAGACCTCTGGTACCTGGTCAGAGCACCACGAGTGCTTCTAAAGCCATGCCAGGGGTCCTGCAATGACCTCTGCCAATTCCGTCAGAGATCATCTGGACCTGCTGACTTGAACATCTCCAGCCCCACTAGAAGTTTCCTAACTAGGTCCTCTCTGACCCTAGGCCTGGTAGTGCCTCTGAGTCCATCTGGAATCCCAGTGCGGGGGGATATCCTGGTCCCTGCTCAGAAAAATGGAGGCAAAGAATTTGTTAAAGAGGTCAGCTTTATCATCTGGTGCAACCACCAGATTGCCAAGCATGTCCTGCAGGGGCCCTGGTGCCTTCTTTTTACTCCCTATGTATTTAAAAAAGGACTTCTTGTCATCTTTTATCCTGGTCGCTAGTCCTAGTTTTGTCTCCGCCTTGGCCTTCCTTACAGCCCCCCTACAATCTCAAGCAATGGAGGTATAATCCTCCTTGGTGATGGCCCCTCCCTTCCACAGGGTGTACACCTCCTTTTTAGCTTTCAGACATTCCTGAATGCCTTTGGTGAGCCAGGGGAGCTTTTGAGCACTCTTGCCCCCTTTGATTCTAATTGGGACTGTCACCCCTTGGGCACAGAGGATCATCTCCTTAAGGAACGACCACTCATCTTGGACACCCAGTTCCCTAACTCTCCAGGACCCCAGTGCCTCTCCTACCAGTCTCCTCAACTAGTTGAAGTTGGCCCTCTTGAAGTCAAGGTCTACTGCCTTACTTCAGGCCCTCGACACCCTGTGCTGTATGGTGAATTTCAGTAGGTGATGATCACTGTCACCCAGGTGGTCAAGAACCTGGTGTCCTCTCACCGGGTCATTGCCTGTGGCCAGAACCAGGTCTAGGAGGGCATTCCCCCTGGTGGGACTGTGCATCTCGTGGGTTAATATCCTAAACTGTTCATATCCTAAACTTACTAGGTATCTCTTATCTCCCTCACATAACCCTGTTAGGTACATTTTCACATTCCTTCAGTTCTTAGATGCAATGTGAGTGTCTTCTGCCCTAGCTCAGGGTTGCCTCTTTATACAGTTTGCATTTATTTTCCCTTGAAATGGGAGTTAGTGTTTTGCATTAATTTTCTGTCAGTGACTTTATTTCCTACAGGAATCTTGCCCATTGAGCCAGGAAAGAAAGATACATATAACACTTAAGGCATCTATGCAATAGCCTTTGAATATTCCATATGTCCCTAGCATCTGCCACATCTCAATATAATAGGCTGGAGTATTCCATGTTCCCAAAGCAGCACATCTGGGTGGAGTGAAAATTTTGCAGCAAGTTTTACTTGTACCAAAGAAGTCAAAGGTTTTTGAAACTGTGCCTTAGGTTGAGCTTGTTCTGGTCTCTTTAGTAAAGGATAGAGTTGTAGTATCTGACTGAGGGGATGTTTTTGCTGCATGCACACAGTCTCAACCCTAGGTATTCTGGCTGCAGTCTGTGACTGTACAGGTCTTTCTTTATTGAGACCCCCTGGGAACAAGCACAGAAACAAACAAATCCCAAATAAATAACAAAAGCAAAAAAACACAACATAAAATCTACTTTAAACTACATTCCCCTACCAGTCTTTACATGACGGATACTTCACCTGCCTCTGATTTTCTGTACATTGAAACCTCCACAGACATGACTTCGCACAATGACATCTCCAAGCAAAATTGAAATGGCAGGCAAACCTCTGATATCCTTCCACACATCTTGTCATTGAGCTCTTTGGAGAGCATAGAAACAAAGTAGTCTCTCAGGCTTTACACAGAGAAACAGGTCTCTCCATTTTTCCAGTGAAAGAATTTTCAAACTGACTATTATCAGCTGGTGCTTTCTTTAAAGTTGCTGCTACTTTAGGTTCCAGTCTCAAGATCAATCACTAGAAGGGGCTAAATTGCTGCCATTACCAAAGGTTGCAAGATCAAGGCATTTTATGAAAAAGCATTTGACTTCAAAGAGCTTCTTTTTGATTTTGAGGTTCCCAGGTTTGGTTAGATTACCTCCTTGACTGAGTAGAAGCAGTGCATGAGGAGGTGGAGAAGGTAGTCCCTGTTTCATGAGTCAGCTGCTATCCCATAGGCAGTGAAAGCTAAACAGTGGCAGCTTACCTGTGAATGAAACAGGGATAAGTTTACTTCTGTTTAGCTTTTACTTCCAGCAGGATAATGGCAGGCATGCAAAAAAACTTACTGTGGAGCAGCTGACTCATAGCAAGCGCTCCACAATGCCTTTCATCCCAGTATAACTTGTCTCTCCATTCTGTTAGTTTCATATCTTGTCAGCGAAATTAGACTGAAAGTTTATCAGGGTAATAATAATTCCAGATCCATCAAGGAGAGAACAGGCTTGTTTCTACTTCTAGACTTGTTCAAATATGCTCAGTGTAAAATTATGGGAGATGTTTTTTTAAATACCATATGCAATGTTCTACTTAACAAAGATTAATCAGTCTTGTCTCTTGCAGGTACCACAGTGCCAGCATTGTTGAATAGCACTTCCAATCAACTTTACCTGCATTTTCACTCTGATATTAGCGTGGCAGCAGCAGGTTTTCACCTGGAATACAAAAGTAAGACTTTCTGACTTATAAATCATTCTCAAAAGTAATAAGGTTTTTGTTTGTTTGCTTGCCTCATAACAAGGGATCCTGTTTTTTTTTTTTCTGATTAAAAAACAATCCCCAATTTTCAGATTAAAAAAGTAACCCAAAATCCACATTTTTCCCTGCTCATCACCAAATTTGATTTAGCATGCTGAAGATATAAGGGGTAAGATACAAAAACACTGTTACTGTGATATAAACTGATTTTACCCTGAAGTGGAGCAAGCACACAAGTACACATTCTTTCACTGTTCCAAGTCACTGTACCCTAGTTCAGCTTATAAATTATATCAGTGTAGTGGGTATGTGTCTACACTTCTACTTGCCATTTGCTCAGTATAAATTGGCTCTCTACCAAAGACTGTCCACATCCTGTAATAGCTGGCTGCTTGTAATGGATTTCTTAGAAAGCTTGCCATGTATCTGCTCATTACTTTAGAGTAAATTTACTGTGGAGTAAAAACCAGGGTAAGTATTTCATAGTAATTTTGTTGTGTGTTTGCATGGCATAGACAATAATTAAGGTTGAAACCAGCAGAAATTCATTCTTAACAAAATAATTATTCACAAGGTTAAAATAAATAACTCAGCAAGAAAATTTGAAGCAACAATCCTTAGAAGAATAGAGTCTCTAATTATAATTTTATTATTTTGAATTTATAGTTCTAAAACCTCTTAATTTTTTAAGGACTCATTTACTCATGAAAGAAGTATGTGAATGCAGATGGATAACACTAAATGCTTTTAGCTTAGTAACATGAACATATCTTTCTTCCCTGCTTCCCCATTTCTCCCTTAACATATATTCGCTATTGGAAAATAGCTGCAGTTGTAATAAATACTTTGGTGAACCTAAGGCAGTATTAAAGTTTGTAAATTGTGTTAGTGATATGGACAATAGAACCCATGACACCTGTTGTCCCTGGATAAATCCTATAAAATATTCCCAGGGTAAGAAATACTAACAATTTATCCCATGACATTGGAAAGTGTTTCTGAATGCATATTCTGTAGCTGCATAATAGAAGCTATGGCAGAAAAGCAGTACATTCAGTCATTTGCTAAATCCTGATTAATTAGAAGGGTGATGCATGTAAATGCCAATCCCAGAATATTTCTGTTCCAAGAAAAACATAGCAACAACTTGTTCAGGGACAAATGCTACATATATTATTAGGTAAAGTATCCGATATTATATGCTTATGCTCTAGGAAGTATTGCTTCATTCATTTGAACACTTTTGTTAAAATATAAAATAGGAATAGATGATCCCACATGATCTGTCTTTAATTCATATTTGAATGATTTTTGTCTTTTCTCTCTGGAAAAAAATAAGTTTACTACTAGAAAAGAGTGGTAACTTCAGTGTATATGTTTGTATATTATTCATTTTAATTGGAGTTATGTATTGCATGGAAAATTCTAACCTTTTTAAAATGAATATGAGGATGAGTTAATAGTCTGATGAATGGGTTGATGAAGGTCAAATTCACAAATCATCTTTTGTATTTGAGTATGCAGGTGTTCCATTGCCTTGCAAAAGAAAATTAAGAATTTTCTCTGAGACTGAGCACATGCATTCAGGCAATAGAAAGCTTTAATGTTGATATTCATCTCCTTTAATAAGCAGTCACAAATAAGCAAATACAAGGATAAGATTTAATAAGTAATCTTTAGAACTGAGATATACAATTTCTTGGAATGTAAATGTGTGCACAGTTTTTGAAAGGCCAGATTTCCAGCTGATGATAAGTATTCTGAACCATACACAAACCACAGGGCAACCTCAGACTGGTTAAATTCCCTGCTTTTCACAACCATTTGTATGCAAGTTTGTTAAAATGTATTTGAATGTGACTGTTCTAATGATGATGTAAAACAAGATCATGAGTGTTATTTATGTAGGATATGTTTTTTGAGAATCTGTTAGGCACGTTTTACAAACATCTGTAGATGTTAAGCTTTGGGTTTTATCTTCAACCAGAAGTTAATATAATTGCTAATATATGTACAGAATAATAGCCAGTGAATGCTCTTATACATTATTCTCAAGGTTATATTGAATCTTCTGGCTCACTTTTAATACTGTCTACTTATGCGAGATGATATTATTAAAATAATTTTCCTGTAATTTTCTGTACATCTATAAACTTTTTTCATTCATTATTATTGTCATATGGTTAAGTATCATTACATTAAAAATGTAATTATAAAAAGAGGTCTTGAATTTCACACTGGAATAAAACAATATAAGTAGCTTGTTTATGGAACATTGTTTTGGTTATTGGAGAAATATAGAAAAAACAGACCTTTTTTCCTATCTTTCATTCTTTATATAACCCCAATTGGCATTAACAATGGAAGTATTTTTGTTTTTGTTTCCAGGTGTAGACTTTTTCAGTAAGCAAACTTTAAAAAATGCTGTACATTTTGTAGACAAGGTTCTTTGGGTAAATCCAATATATTTTATTAGATGAACTAAAATAGCTGGAAAAACATCTTCTTTCAAGTTTTCAGGTACAAACACCCTTCATGAGGCTGAGGAAGCATCTGCAGTTGGTCTGTGCTCTTCCTGGGTGGAATAGAAGCCAGAGGCCAGTATACATGGGAGAAAGCCAATCAGTGAAAATGTAAATTGAGGCAGGGAGAGACCTGGGGGTGGGGGAGGAGGGGATATAGCTAGTAAATGGTAGAGAGGCTACCTGGGGTATCAAGTATTAAGCAGGTTATCATGTATCATAAATCCAATGTCTATATTTAGTCTACAATTTTTTGTATTGAGTAGGAAGATGAAGTAAAGTTCGTAGGCTCGTCTGTGAAAGGTGTATTGTAAATTTGCTTTGAGGATTAGACCAGAGAGATTGGAGAGAGAGTGGTTTTCTTGTGAGAAATGTACCCCACAGGTAAACGGGTGTTCTTGTCTTTGATAGATTTCTGGTGTGTGTTTATTCTCATATGCAGTTGTTGGTTTCTCCTACATATTTTCCATCAGGGCATAATGCACTAGATGAGATATAGTACATTTTTGGAGGTGCAGTTATAAGATCCAGGAATGATGATGATGCTGTTGTGGGGTATAGTTATTGTGGGGGTGGTGGAGATATGTTGGCAGGTTTTACATTTCTTGTCATGGCATGATCTGGATTCATTTGGTGTGTTTTGGGTTGTAGGAAATTTGCTTCTGGTGGTGAGGTTGGCGAGATGGTACTTGTTTGAAGGCTAGGGTGGGTGGTTATGGGAAGTTCTGTTTAAGAATTGAGTCGTCTTCTAGTATGGCTTGCAATTGTTTGAGGATTTTCCATATAGGTTCCAGGGAGGGGTGATATTTCATAACCAGTAGTATGCAATTCATGGTGGGGTTCTTTCTGTAGTGTCACAATTTTTCACACGGTATCTGGGTAACTCTTTTAAAAGTGTGATCTATCTCTCTGGAGGAGTATCCTGCTGAGTTAAAGCCCTTTTGAGAGTTGTGAGGTGATGATCACAGGTGTTTGCCTCAGTGCAAATTCAGTGGTATCTGATGGCATGGCTGTATATTATAGCTTTCTTGGTGTGTTTAGGGTGATTGCTGGTTCTGTGCAGATATGTATGCTGGTCTGTGATTTTCTTGTATATGGTGGTCTGTATTTTACCATTCTGGATAGTGGATAGTGATCATAGTGTCTAAAAAGGTAATGTTGGTGCTAGAGTATTCAAGAGATGGAGGGGTGATGCTTGTTGATTTTCTGATGGAAATCAATCAGAGATTACAGGTTTTCAGTCCAAATGATGAAGGTGTCACTGATACATCTTAAGTATAGCAATGGTTTGATGGTTCAGTCCTTGAGGAATTCCTCTTCTAGGTGGCTTATAAAAAGGTTAGCATATTGTGGGGCCATTTTGGTATCCATAGCTGTGCCCATGGTCTGGAGGAAGTGTTGGCTATTGAAAGTGAAAGTGTGTGAGGATAAAGTGTATAAGTTCAGTATACTCAGAAAGAAATAGTTTTCATTTTTAGTGATTTCAGTATTGCATCAACTCTCATATTGCATATGGTTCCATTTAGTGATCATTGCTATAGTGTAGAAGGGAGGACTTAGTCCTATTATTGATTTGGATGGAAAGTATGGTGCAAAAAGATGCCTATATGAGTCAAGTTTGCCTCCTGTGCCCCTTTCTTTCTCTCTAGTAGTGGTAAAATAGGTGTTATCAGTATTTAGTTCTGATGCTTCAGATTAGTACTTCCTATATTTTAAGACTTATTTTCTTAACTTCAGCAGAAGGGGATTATTTTATCTTCCTAATCCTAGATCTGACCACAGCATCTATTTCCCCTTTGAATATCTCCACTGGCTTCCCTTCTGTAGTTTATCAAAAACTAATTTTCTGTACTTGGTCTCCTGCTCTCTGGGCAAATACTTTAACTAGCAGGACTAAAATACAGGGCTCTCCTTCATTTTGGGTGCAGCAGAAAAACATGAAGGTAGATTCTGTTTCTCCACAGGAAAAAAAAAATCCCAAACTATATGTAAGTACTTGAAAAGGCAGCTAGATACCTGTGTATGTGCCATTTAGGCATGAAAAGTGAAATAGGAGTTAGCTGAAAGTGCAATACCTAGCTACTGACCAGCAAAAAATTAGACATTGTAAATTTGTTTTAAAATATATAATTAGTATATGTTTTGTAACGGTTACTGCAACAGGAAGGCTTCTTAGTAATTTTAAGAGATCTACCTGTTTTAATGAAAGCTACGTAAAGTTTTACTGAATGTCTCCATTAGACCCTATCTTATCTGCATTTATTTTGCTAGCAATAGTAGTTCTGCTAAAGAGAAGTATGTTCTTGTTGTTTTAGTTCCATATATCTGTGTCATTTTAAACTTGTTTTGAATTCAAGAGATCAGGTGAAATATTTCAAGATTTTATTTTATTTTATTTAGCAGGTAAAAAGTGGGTGAAAAATCAATAAGTAAATTTGATACAATAAT